CCTTTGAGTCTGAAGGAGAAGATTTTTGAAATATTGGTTAATCTTCCCTTTGGGGCCCCGCTCTGGCCCCATGGGTTGGGGGTAGGAATCCCAATTTAACAATTTTGTAGCCTCATCTACCAAGGATGATTCTGACCAAGTTTGAAAACAATCCATCCACTGGTTCTTGAGAAGAAGTTGAAAATGTAAAAGTTTACGCACGACGGACGACGACGGACGGAAAGCGATTAGAATAGGTCACTTGAGCAAAGCTCAGGTGACCTAAAAATCGCACCGTATATGACTGACCGCATATTATGAGGAACTTATTTTAGCCTACCTACCAATAACCCTGCACGTTTACCCCGAAAAATAGACAAGGAGAGGAACATTTCATAAGACTCCTTGACACTAATGTTGTAATGACCGTTTAGATTCTGAAGGAACTTTTTCTATTCCATGATGCAATCATACAAAATGCTGTCTTTCGTAGTCATGGACATCGTTATTCGGCAGTCCAATTAACAATTACGTTTGAAAACATCATGGGAACTCTAGGAAATTGCTGGGAGTTTACCATGTTCCTACCACGCTGTAACTGCTTTTCCTCTCTACGTTTTACGAACACTACATGAAGATACAATTAAAACTGTTCCTAATGACATTTGGACACTAGCTCGGAGGTTTTGTAAACATTATAGATCATGTGGCAAATTTTACTGTTAGTTGTGGCCAAGAAATGAAACCAATTGATTATTAATCCTAAGCATCCCCTCCTGAGAAGTGACTTTTATCAAACATTTGACTTTTTTACATAACCTTTTAAAGATCGTCTTCGTTCTCTTATATTGATAGCTTTCGAATCCAGGAAAGGTGAACGGCGGTATAAATTTATTGTTGTCAACTATTTTAAACAAGTTTAGAGAAAAGCATGAGAAAGGACGAATGAAATTTACAGATAATGAAATCGTGAAAATTCCCTTTCTTGATAGTAATATTCGTGTTTACCAAACTTTGGTATTTACATGTCAACGCTGATTCGGTATCCAAGCGCTTGCTCCGAATACCTTGACTTTTGTGAAAATTGTCAACTGCTGACGGACAAACTTACAACACAGGGTTTCCGTGATAGATGTCGACTGCTGACAGACAAACTTACAACACAGGGTTTCCGTAATAGATGTCGATTGCTGACGGACAAACTTACAACACAGGGTTTCCGGGATAGATGTCGACTGCTGACAGACAAACTTACAACACAGGGTTTCCGTGATAGATGTCAACTGCTGACGGACAAACTTACAACACAGGGTTTCCGCGATAGATGTCGACTGCTGACGGACAAACTTACAACCCAGGGTTTCCGTGATAGATGTCGACTGCTGACGGAAAAACTTACAACACAGGGTTTCCGTGATAGATGTCGACTGCTGACGGAAAAACTTACAACACAGGGTTTCCGTGATAGATGTCGACTGCTGACAGACAACCTTACAACACAGGGTTTCCGTGATAGATGTCGACTGCTGACAGACAAACTTACAACACAGGGTTTCCGTGATAGATGTCGACTGCTGACGGAAAAACTTACAACACAGGGTTTCCGTGATAGATGTCGACTGCTGACAGACAACCTTACAACACAGGGTTTCCGTGATAGATGTCGACTGCTGACAGACAAACTTACAACACAGGGTTTCCGTAATAGATGTCGACTGCTGACGGACAAGCTTACAACACAGGGTTTCCGTGATAGATGTCGACTGCTGCCGGACAAACTTACAACACAGGGTTTCCGTGATAGATGTCGACTGCTGCCGGACAAACTTACAACACAGGGTTTCCGTGATAGATGCCGACTGCTGACGGACAAACTTACAACACAGGGTTTCCGCGATAGATGTCGACTGCTGACGGACAAACTTACAACACAGGGTTTCCGTGATAGATGTCGACTGCTGACGGACAAACTTTCAATACAGGGTTTCCGTGATAAATGTCGACTGCTGACGTACAAACTTACAACACAGGGTTTCCGTGATAGATGTGGACTGCTGAAGGACACACTTACAACACAGGACTACCGTTATAGATGTCGACTGCTGACGGACACACTTACAACACAGGGTTTCCGAAATTGCATGATGACGAAGCCTATGCACTAGTTTTATAGTCGCCATCACCATCTCATCGGAAAAATATGCATTTTTTGTGTAATAGGAATTTCGATGATTTATCTTGATCATTAGTGCGCCTTATTATTACTACCTCAGGTCCCGTTTTGAAGACATTCCATTACTTTGGATTTTGTTGATGAAGCAGAAGATATTTGCTTAGCCTTCCGGAACGCCTGGTCTAAGTTTCCATAATCCATATTTTATTACTTTTATCGATTTTGGAGTTCGAATAAGTTTTCGGTAAATATAAGGGTATTTGTTTGAAACCTTTATAGACCTAACAAATTCCCTGTTCATTAATGTCCATCAATTAAATCGTTTTTGGTAGTGCTATGTTTTCATTTGGTTACAGAAATATCATACTTTCTATATTAAAGCAGTAAACTGACATTATGCACTTATTATCTCCTTGTGAATTATATCGGTCTATTAACAGACATCAATATGAGCCGATTACATGTGTCACCTTCTCCGTTTCCACTGAAAGTGACTGGGTTGTAAACACGTGTATTGTAGAACGGCTAGATTTGTTCTCGTGATATTTCAGAAAGTAGATAAAAAGAGATTTTTTTTAAGAGACTGATCAACTGCTATAGTGGTTGCTAAACCAATAAATCTGGATTGTAGCGGAGGATTTTTTATGAATCAAGTATATCTGGCAAAACAGATCATTAGGACCATTAGTTTATTATGGGAGAAAATGTACCATAAATTAATAGCACATATTTTGTAAGGATCCATATAAATACCACGTTATCTGTGTAATATAATAATCAATATTGCTAATTTAGCATTTCAACAAACACTTCAGCGATCACGTTGCAGCCAAATAAACATATTAATACTGAAATGGACAGTTTAAGGTACCTTATTCTACATCCTATAATTTATATTTACTCCACTCAAACGACTTTTTAATGAAAGGCAAATTCTCTGCAAGAGCTTTGGGTCATTATATGACTGTAGATCAGTTAATGATCAGCGCTGTCACCTGACCGGACTACTAAAACATTCTGTCAAAACCAGCAGTATCTAATACAATGATAAACTAGGACTTTAGTGCAGCTTCCTCTGATAACGAATCCATCCAACAGCCTCTCAGTATACGTCTCAGGTATAATAAGAATAATGTCTTATCCAGTGGAAAAATGACAAATCCCTATTTGATTCTGGAATAAACACTTGCAGTTATCAATTCGTGAAGTAGACATAATCAAAATGCCGTTCCCATCGGAAATTGAAAGCGTCACTGTAACACATGCTGTGACTATATTCTTCTATACAGTAATTGCGATTTTAATTGTTTTGGACGCTTGAACGCCTTCATCTTCATTTTTCAAAAACTCCAATTTCGAATAAATATCCTTCTGTAAAATGCATCGAAAGATGTGATTTATATGGAACAGAGTGTAGTTCTGTGGAAATGACGACTATATCATTATACTGACAATGATAAGATATGTTTTTACTTGACAACTCTTTGCCTTTAGAACGAATTAAACAGAGAATACTAGGGTCACATTCGTTTATCGCGATCCAAAAGGTTGAACCGGCTGTCCCCCAGATTTTCGTTTATGAAATAAGGTCGAAAATAGTAATATGATGCTACTTTTGGGCGAGCCTTGCAAGGCCTGCATTAACTTTTGGAGATCCGTTTCATGGCAAATTTGATTCAAATATGACCAACTGGTCAGGAGGAGTAGTATTTTAACAACATTATCGCCCCGAATCCCTCATTTGTTCTTGTCCCTCAGCCCCAATAAGAGCTATAACTGTATGCTCAAATCATACAATCATTGCAATGTCCAAATGACCAAGGAAATCCACGTCATATGTATATGGTTATAGAGACCCTGAAATTAACCATTTAGTCCCTGGTTGTGAACCTGGTAGTAGGTACCCAGAGGTATGGACCAAGTCCTAATGGTGGGGCCAGACCGCAAAGCTTCCACTGGTAACATGACTGTGATTGTATTCTTCTCTTTATGCCAAACAAGCAGTCATACTATAATATCGTGGGGATCTCAACAGTTTCCAAGTTATGACCAAGGGACTAAGTTCTCTTGGGCAGGGCCAGCCCCCCCCNNCCCCCCCAAGACTAGTCCTGATAGCATGGACATATTTGTCTCCTCATACCTATCGTGGTCAAACCCACCAGTCCCAGAGGTCACACTTGACTTATACAAAATCTAGTCACCTTGCATAAGTGATATTTCAAGATTGATTTAGTTACCTTCAAGCAGATTTAAGGCTTTGCACCAAGGGGGCTACAGCTTTAAACAGAAATTCCCAAGGACCCAGAATGTTCCATACCAAAATTGGCTTAAATCCCATTACTACCACTGAAGTAGTGGGATTTACCCAGGTTTACCCTTTAAGGCTCTGCCCTCTACTCCTAGGCCATGTATTATGTCCTCCAGTTATACCACATACAGTTCCCTGGGCTAAAGGTACTCCAGACTTTTATTTTCCATATTATAATTACCTCTCTTACAGAAGACATACCTTCAGTGGACTTTAGGGAAATTAAGGAAAAGGTTAGAGGATGAATGACAAAAGTTGCACTTTGACTCAAGTTAAGAATGAGCTTACAGAATGGAGAAAACATCCCGCAGGACTGGCTAAACACTGATCAGTATTGCTCTAGGACGGCAAGGATTATAACGGTGATGTTATATAGGTGAACTTAATGGAAGGTCAAACTGTGTTTAATCACACCATGTGGTTAGGTAAGCCTGGTAATAAGCCTGATGATGATGCTAATAATCGACACAAGGACAGTAAATGTCCTGGCCAGTCTGTATCACTACAGTGACTATGTACAAATTAATAGCCAACAGTGTCATAAATGAATTGATTTTATTTGTCAACTTGTACAAAACCCCTTCCCTATCACACCTACAGTTACAAACAGCTGATCAATCACTGACCACAACTGGTTACCATCACTTGACTGACCACAACTGATTGAATCAGTCACACGACCCTCATCTGATGATCATAAGTCACATGACAACAGCTGATCATAATCAGTCAAATGACCATATCTAATCATAGTCAGTCACACGACCTCATCTGATGATCATAAGTCACATGACAACAGCTGATCATAATCAGTCAAATGACCATATCTAATCATAGTCAGTCACATGACCCGATCTGATGATCATTAGTCACATGACAAAGTGCAGCTGATCATAATCGGTTACATGATCACATCTAATCACAATCAGCCATTTTGAGTACACAAAAGTCATTTCTCAAAATCGACAAATAAATAAAAGTTGCCATTATGATAAAAGCTCTTGATATTATGTCATGAACAGGTAGGCAATATATGAGGTACAGGTAAAAGTGACAGGATACCTGTAATCTAGCATACATGTACTCAATTATACAGCCTGTATTTCATAAATTCCTGGTCTGACCTTTCAAACATTATGGGTAAATAAAAGATGTCAGTATATCAAGGCAGCTAAGGGACATAGCATATAATAATTAACACTGTTATAGACAGTAGAGAAGGCACACACTGGTGTCTGTCAGTATTAACGAACAACAAACTTTACCTCCAAATATTCTATGTGGTGGCCCCTGACATATTGTAAATCTGAGGAAAAAAACCCCAAAGATACAATTTCAACATTTTAGTAAGGTACATAAGCTACTTTACTTTGACACATATCATGATTACAAAAGAGTTCCATTCTAAGACACTTGTGTTAGGGATGGTACATAAATCCTTGATAAACTGTGTAAGATAGCATACACCCTTAACTAACTCAATGGCACCAACGGTAAAAAACAAAGACTTAATTATGCTGAAGCGTGCTTCAGTGATACACATTGGTAAATAGACGACATGACAGAGGCGCTAAAATTACAGTAAAATATAACATCAACATATAGATTATGTAGGCCACGTAAAATTTTAACATCAATGTCCAAAAACGATTAATGAAAACTGGAATAGATATTAGTAATAAAAAGTTACAAATGAGATATGAAATATGAACCAATACATATTTTATATTTTGCATTTATGTTTATAAATGTAAATTTATGCATATAAATGAAATTTTATGAATATTTAAGGAATGTTTTTGCATGAATAAGCATAAAATAATATGACACATCTGAGATATATATTTCTTCAATTAGGTATTAACAGTAAAGTATTGAGAGTATAGGACTGGGAAGTATAAACAGCTGAAGTATTGAGTACACGACTGGGAAGTATAAACAGCTGATGTATTGAGAGTACACGACTGAGAAGTATAAACAGCTGATGTATTGAGAGTATAAGACTGAGAAGTATAAACAGCTGATGTATTTAGAGTATAGGACTGAGAAGTATAAACAGCTGTTGTATCGAGAATACACGACCATGAAGTATAAATACTACCATAGTAATGTTCACCTGTGTTAAGCCCAAGGTAATCTCATCATTAAAATCTTCGGTTTTTATGATGTTGAAGATCTAAATACCCGATATAGGAGCATATTTATATCTGATGATATGAATAATATATATAACTGAAATTTCTGAATGTGCCTCGAACTCATACAACTCTATTTGAAACACCGGGCTCCTCTAGCTTATAACAATAGAATGTATCACACCTTTAAAATAACCAGTATACACCCTACTAAGGCAAACAATACAAGTCCCATCTCACATACCCTAAACACCTTTGTGAAGTTTCACAGATATCTTTTGAGAATACAACAAGTACCAGAACGTACTTGCCCACCTTCAAAATATTTCACAGGATTGAAATCATGTGGCAAAACCTAACAAGAGGCCCAATAGTCCTGTATCACTCACCTGTTACTCATCTCACATCTATGACCTTCAAGGAGTTACAATACACTGCATGTTATAAATCTTTATAAATCTTTGTTAAAAGGTTTTTTATTTTACTAATGATACCTTCAGAATGGTCAAGGTCATTTATGTATATCATTAAGCCAAAGGACAAAAATCCTAACCTTAGAAATCTTGGCATGTTTGACCCCTGTTGACCTTGTCAAGGACATGTATACGAACAATATTGATAGCCCTGCATCCCAGCATACTACTGGCCAAATATCATGACCCTAGGCCTCTAGAAGAAGTTGTTTTAAATAAAAAGTTGATGCAAGACCTATGGCAGATGCTGTACCACAGATTAAACTCACTTATCCTTTTAGGCCAAGTGTGGTAAAAACATTTTTAACAAAATAATGCTAATAAGGTCTAATGTTTAAGCTGTTCTATACAATGAATGACATTTGAGCAAAAAATAAGGTACATATAGGAAATACAATTACTGCTTATAACAAAGTCAAAATTGAAGGCGAAAAATTATGTTTCCCTCCAAAGTAGAGACATCTGTAATATTGAACAATGAAAATATCCTTATTTTTACAAGTGTGATTGTAAATGTTTATGGAAAATATTTGTATACCTTTATGAAGATTGTACCAGGTATTGTCCATACATTATATTGGCTACGGTATATATAAATGTAAAAGATGAAATTTATGATAATATATTTCAACACTCAAAAATCTCTTTAAACCTTTCCAGATAAAAATATAATCTCTATTTCAACAAAAATGTCCATCCAACAGGCACAATAAAAGGAATACTATATACCAGATAAACCATGTTAAACTGTGTCATCTTCACTCCCACATAAAACATGTAGTTAGATGTTGAAATGCGCTAGCAGCAAGCTAGTCTATAGAAGTCTAAATGACCTCCAGGATATCTCAAAGAATATCATGAAAAACTGGGCTCATATTCCAAAAGGTATTTTTATACTCATAACCCTGATTATGAGCTCAGCCATTTTTCTTGTTATTCATGAGACTACTACAAACGTGAACATTTAGCATGAAAATTGTGGTAAATACAAGATATCTACACCTACAGACTATAAAATTACGTACCATTTTACAAAAAGTACTTCTCACTTATATGAGGAATTGAGTTTAAGCATAGAAACCCAGTTTGAGCATGGGGAGTTTTTATGTACACACAAGGTCTTTGTAGCCATTTCACCACTATATGGCAAATGGTTTAACGAGTAAATAGGACATTGAAACCATTGATAGTTACAGTTCCAGTGTAATACTGACTGATAATTACAGTACCAGTGTAATACTGACTGATAAGTATAGTTACCAGTGTAATACTGACTGATAATTACAGTTACCAGTGTAATACTGACTGTATCAAATAAATCTTAATATGCAATTCATTCAATCATCATTATTACATACTTGCATGTGATTTTCCTGTGAAAATATGAAAATTTTGTAGTGTTCAACTGTGGGTCCATCATTGTATCTTTGTATTTTATCTAAACTATTTTCAATAATGTTGTTAAACTGTTAATTCAATGAAATACTAATATAATAAACAAAGTAGAAATACATCTGTAGTTTGTTTGTTTGTTTGTAATATTGTAGATTGACATTATACAGATTTATCATATAAATTACATTTTAAAGTAATAATGTTAAAATATTGTAGTGTTACACAAAGTTATCTGTTAACATTATACACTGTTACGTGACAAGGTTAACATGTATCCTGTAACATTGTGAGTACTGTAAACTGATTGTTTTGTAAATTCGCACAAAAATGCAATGTAAAATTTAAGTTCATTTTGTAATTGGGTAAAATATTTTGTAACAATTTGTAGCGTCCCACTGTAGTGTGATAAGTACTTTGTAGAAATAATTTTGTAATATTTTGTAACAATTTGTAGCGTCCCACTGTAGTGTGATAAGTACTTTGTAGATATCATTTTGTAAGTAAACACATTCTGGCTTAACAACATATAACTTCATATTTTATCAAGGTAGTGTAACTCTGTACAAATTAAATGAAAGACTATTTGATATGTTTGTAGAGTGCTGATGTAACTCTACATAAAGCTGATTACTTTGTGCTGGCCCTCAAAGTTACAACTTCTCCATCAGTACTCTACCTGTCTACTCAACTTACCTACAACGTGAACACACACAGTAGGGTTAAAACAGCAATGTAAAATGACAAAAAATATAACAATGGTTTGATCAATGTGTCTTCGATGGATGTAGGATTTTCTGAGAGAAGCACACCTTCTTGAGTCTTCACAGCCGGCTATAAAACTGGCCAGATATTTATTACAAATATTTAGAAACCCATTCTGATCAGGACCTCCAACCTTTACACAGAGTTTTCATTCCATACACTCTGTCAGTGAGCTTAAGGAAAGACAACTCTGGGTGGAGATTGCAGGACCTCAGGGAAGAGCATTCAGGGGAGACTACTCAAGGGACACAACTCATGATCTTCATTAATCTGAGTTTCAATACATTATAGTACAGAAAAAAAATTCTTTCCTGGGCATAAACATAGTTATTTATACTCAGATAAACATAACCCTACTTTTGCCTACTTATTTGCATAGATACATCATATTTAACATTTGGCTGTAGAGTAAAGAATAAGTAGAATGGAATGCTTAAGTGTTCCAAATGGCATGTGTATATAATATATATATATAAAATAAATGCTGAATATAAACGCCTCGGCATGATATGATATTATGCTAAATACAGTTATCACTACTACAACATGACAATGTGTCTGACCATGACAGCAATATTTACACAAACTAACAATCTTTACTACCAATACTGACTGACCATTAGTCCGGTGACTGAGATCAGTAGACTGACCGTAAGTCCGGTGACTGAGAATCAGAGTGCTGGTAAGTAAAGGCAGATTCTAAGCTTGACCTTTACTTGTACTTATACAAGTGATTGGTGAAACAGTGAAGGATAGCTGGTATTATAAATATCTGTGCATATTTTTAAGTGTATTTTTTTTTTAACTATTGCAGATAAAACTTTTATGATATTTCAAGGCAATCTGCATTTACTTTATCTCATTTCAACAGATTCTATTAAGCAGTAGAAAAATTCAGAGTTTTGCTGTAATCAAATGATAATTAAAATGATGATAAATTGAAAGGTTGCAATGAAATCAAATACACACTGAAGTGTTTCACTGACATCATTATCAATTAGCAAAATACAGTGATGCCATCACTTAGGTTTGATAATACATGTAAGTGCATCAAAAATATTGCATACATACATGTAATTAAAATGTCATCCTTTCTCATTCTGGCTTTGTGTCCTCTTTCAAGGTCAGACCTGAAGGTCAAATGAGCCTTTATTGACAAGTGAGTTACAAAATTAATGCTCTTTGTGTATATATATCAATAATTATTTAAATTTAAATAATTATTTTTATAGACTTTTAGAAATCTCAGGACAGCAATGTTATTGTCAGGAAGGGGACCCTGTCAACAGAGTGCTGTACTGCTTTCCTGATTTGTGCACTAGGATGACCTCATTACTCTGGTGATGGCTAATGAGTTCTGGCACTGTTTCAAATGTCTGAAAACAAAATAAGAAATTCTTTTAATGACTGACATGTAGGGTAAATATTTTCTGTTAGTAGTATCGTGTGTGACACAAGGATGTTCAAGGGGAAATAACTCTAACCAATGTCCTATTTGTTTTTAAGGATCCCCATAACATTGCAAACATTGTAAATGTGCATTGGAAACTGTATTTTCTGACATCATTTTAGCTTTGATAAACCTTTTCTTAAAAGGAACCATACCTTTTAGGATTTTAATAACAAAGATGACATGAACACAACGTAATCAACAACTGTAGTGTTCTGTGTGTTCAGCAAGGTCACACAGGAACTGTAACTCTGAACTTCACGCCGTCATACCGTCGCTTTAGCTGACTGAGATACCTGGTCTATGGAAGTGTCTTGGCCCAATATGCTACAGTTTAATCCAACACAAAATTAAGGCAAGATTACTGTAGATACTATAAAGTACAGAGCAGTCAGTGACACGCACCCTTGAAACACAAATGTAGTTTCCAACACCATCAGTTGACCTCAGCCCTATCAACTCAGACCAACACACATGGGTTTCACCACTGTCAGACACCTTCGCCCTCACACCCGTCAAGGCCTGCTTATCATACCTTTTTGTATCTAGATTAAAATCTGTTATGCTCCAAACAGTCTGACACAGTTTTCTGATGATATCTAGGTCACACCCACACAGTCTGACTATCATTTCCCGCTCCTCGGACAGAGATATCCCATGTCATACTCCATGCTAGATTTTTCTATCTCGTTCGATCTGTCTGGTTCCTTTACGTGAAATTTAGCGGAATTTTTACACTGTGATGTATTCTTCTGTGAGTGAACTGCTTGAAATTATATATATTCTGTTTTGTTGTTATACTGTTTTGATGTTGTTAGATATCTGCATGATGTTGTAGATAAAATATAATCTACACTATGTTATATGTTGTCTTTCCTTGTAAGACATTTTTACATTTTGCTTCGAGAAAGCATTCAAATGTAGCTTTAGTAGTGTAGAGGCCATTTTTATTTGACGCCCCAGACAGGATACTTGTAGTCTTTAGCAAAATTAAATAGTTTATTTTTAACTAAAAGGTGCGAGAAAATAAATCTATTACCTGTAAACACCATGATTGGGTTACCTCAGTCGAGGGCTAAGTTTCTGTAACATCCCAACCTCGGCTTACGAGGCTTGATTGGGATTATGTTATCAATCTTAGCCCTCGACTGAGATAACCTGACCTCACTCACTTACAGGTAATAGATTTTATTGATCTATATATCAAACTATCAGACTAATATTTGCTTTTAACTCACAACATACCACTTCATCTGCTTTTTCCTCTCCCAGGGCGTAACGTTTGTCAGACCGGAAGCGCACTTTGAGGTTGTAGTTGTAACCGGAGTAGTACACCATAAGTGTGTATGGCTGTGTCTCCGCCTTCTTTTTGTTGCTGCACTTCCTCATCAGGAAACAACCATCCTGAATAATAGTTGAGACTTCTTTACAATGAAACTTTAAAGAAGCTTATCAATAAAATGACAGCTGATGTATTATAAGGAACAGGCTGTGTGACATCTTCTTACAGTCAACATCAGATACACACTGTTAACAGTCAACATCAGATACACACTGTTCACAGTCAACATCAGCTACACACTGTTCACAGTCAACATCAGATACACACTGTTAACAGTCAACATCAGATACACACTGTTAACAGTCAACATCAGATACACACTGTTAACAGTCAACATCAGATACACACTGTTAACAGTCAACATCAGATACACACTGTTAACAGTCAACATCAGATACACACTGTTAACAGTCAACATCAGATACACACTGTTAACAGTCAACATCAGATACACACTGTTAACAGTCAACATCAGATACACACTGTTAACAGTCAACATCAGATACACACTGTTAACAGTCAACATCAGATACACACTGTTAACAGTCAACATCAGATACACACTGTTAACAGTCAACATCAGATACACACTGTTAACAGTCAACATCAGATACACACTGTTAACAGTCAACATCAGATACACACTGTTAACAGTCAACATCAGATACACACTGTTAACAGTCAACATCAGATACACACTGTTAACAGTCAACATCAGATACACACTGTTAACAGTCAACATCAGATACACACTGTTAACAGTCAACATCAGATACACACTGTTAACAGTCAACATCAGATACACACTGTTAACAGTCAACATCAGATACACACTGTTAACAGTCAACATCAGATACACACTGTTAACAGTCAACATCAGATACACACTGTTAACAGTCAACATCAGATACACACTGTTAACAGTCAACATCAGATACACACTGTTAACAGTCAACATCAGATACACACTGTTAACAGTCAACATCAGATACACACTGTTAACAGTCAACATCAGATACACACTGTTAACAGTCAACATCAGATACACACTGTTAACAGTCAACATCAGATACACACTGTTAACAGTCAACATCAGATACACACTGTTAACAGTCAACATCAGATACACACTGTTAACAGTCAACATCAGATACACACTGTTAACAGTCAACATCAGATACACACTGTTAACAGTCAACATCAGATACACACTGTTAACAGTCAACATCAGATACACACTGTTAACAGTCAACATCAGATACACACTGTTAACAGTCAACATCAGATACACACTGTTAACAGTCAACATCAGATACACACTGTTAACAGTCAACATCAGATACACACTGTTAACAGTCAACATCAGATACACACTGTTAACAGTCAACATCAGATACACACTGTTAACAGTCAACATCAGATACACACTGTTAACAGTCAACATCAGATACACACTGTTAACAGTCAACATCAGATACACACTGTTAACAGTCAACATCAGATACACACTGTTAACAGTCAACATCAGATACACACTGTTAACAGTCAACATCAGATACACACTGTTAACAGTCAACATCAGATACACACTGTTAACAGTCAACATCAGATACACACTGTTAACAGTCAACATCAGATACACACTGTTAACAGTCAACATCAGATACACACTGTTAACAGTCAACATCAGATACACACTGTTAACAGTCAACATCAGATACACACTGTTAACAGTCAACATCAGATACACACTGTTAACAGTCAACATCAGATACACACTGTTAACAGTCAACATCAGATACACACTGTTAACAGTCAACATCAGATACACACTGTTAACAGTCAACATCAGATACACACTGTTAACAGTCAACATCAGATACACACTGTTAACAGTCAACATCAGATACACACTGTTAACAGTCAACATCAGATACACACTGTTAACAGTCAACATCAGATACACACTGTTAACAGTCAACATCAGATACACACTGTTAACAGTCAACATCAGATACACACTGTTAACAGTCAACATCAGATACACACTGTTAACAGTCAACATCAGATACACACTGTTAACAGTCAACATCAGATACACACTGTTAACAGTCAACATCAGATACACACTGTTAACAGTCAACATCAGATACACACTGTTAACAGTCAACATCAGATACACACTGTTAACAGTCAACATCAGATACACACTGTTAACAGTCAACATCAGATACACACTGTTAACAGTCAACATCAGATACACACTGTTAACAGTCAACATCAGATACACACTGTTAACAGTCAACATCAGATACACACTGTTCACAGTCAACATCAGATACACACTTTTAACAGTCAACATCAGATACACACTGTTAACAGTCAACATCAGACACACACTGTTAACAGTCAACATCAGATACACACTGTTAACATCTATATATAGAGAATAAATAACGTTAGAATTAAATGTTACATAATGTTATTAAAAGTTTTGTTATTTTGTCATCACAGATATCTTTCATTGCAAGTCAAACTTACCTTGCCGATTTTTTTTAGTTTTTTGTTGCCCTCCTCTCTCTCTAACTCGCCGTGGTACCAGGAAAAGGCTCCCAAAGGATCAGCCTGCAAAATCATCATCATTTAAATGTTTTTTGATTCAATGTTTTACACCGTTATTCTGGAATAGCACGTTCCTGAAGATAAGTGACATCATTTTTTTATGAAATATTTGAACTCCTGGGGAACATGAAATAGGTGTTACCTAGAAACATGAAATAGGTGTTACCTAGAAACATGAAATAGGTGTTACCTAGAATTACCTAGAAACATGAAATAGGTGTTACCTGGAATTACCTAAAAACATGAAATAGGTTTTACCTAGAAACATGAAATAGGTGTTACCTATAATTACCTTGAAACATGAAATAGGTGCTACCTAGAATTACCTAGAAACATGAAATAGGTGTTACCTAGAAACATGAAATAGGTGCTACCTAAAATTACCTAGAAACATGAAATAGGTGTTACCTAGAATAACCTAGAAACATGAAATAGGTGTTACCTATAATTACCTAGAAACATGAAATAGGCGCTACCTAAAATTACCTAGAAACATGAAATAAGTTTTACCTAGAATAACCTAGAAACATGACATAGGTTTTACCTAGAAACATGAAATAGGTGTTACCTATAATTACCTAGAAACATAAAATAGGTGTTACCTAGAATAACCTAGACACATGAAAAAGGTGTTACCTAGAATTACATAGAAACATGAAATAGGTGTTACCTAGAATTACATAGAAACATGAAATAGGTGTTACCTAGAAACATGAAATAGGTGTTACCTAGAAACATGAGATAGGTGTTACCTTGAATTACCTAGAAACATGAAATAGGTGTTACCTAGAAACATGAAATAGGTGTTACCTAGAATTCCCTAGAAACATGAAATAGGTGTTACATAGAAACATGAAATAGGTGTTACATAGAAACATGAAATAGGTGTTACCTAGCAACATTAAATAGGTGTTACCTAGAATTACCTAAAAACATGAAATAGGTGTTACCTAGCAACATGAAATAGGTGTTACCTAGCAACATGAAATAGGTGTTACCTTGAAACATGAAATAGGTGTTACCTAGCAACATGAAATAGGTGTTACCTAGCAACATTAAATAGGTGTTACCTAGAATTACCTAGGCACATGAAATAGGAATTACCTAGAAACATGAAATAAGTGTTACCTAGAAACATGAAATAGGTGTTACCTAGAATTACCTAGGCACATGAAATAGGTATTACCTAGAAACATGAAATAGGTTTTACCTAGAAACATGAAATAGGTGTTACCTAGAATCATGAAACATTTACTTTTAGCTGCGTTGATCAGAAATCTACAGATGCTGTTAGACATTGTCCACACATTTGCAAAGCTATGGAGACTTAACTATAATTGTTCAAAATCTTCATTAATGCAATTTACAAATCGGAAACGACCGCAAAGTGAATTAAAGGCTTCGTGTTCTTTTGGAAATACACCGATTACATGGACAACATCAAAAGTGTACGCTGGAATAACATTATGTTATAACCTTAAACCCGATATGCACATCGCTTGTTCTTGTGGAAAAAAGGACAAAGAACCGTTAACAGCCTTATCAGTGTTGGCATACACCAGAACGGAATGAATCCATTAACAAGTGTACGCATTATCAAATCAATGAACATGAACGTGTTACCTAGAAACATGAAATAGGTGTTACCTAGAATTACCTAAAAACATGAAATAGGTGTTACCTAGAATTACCTAAAAACATGAAATAGGTGTTACCTAGAA